TAAAAACTCCACAAAGCTGTTTTTCAAAATTTTCACTCATATCACTCACAAAACTTCAAAAACAACCCAAAATTATATTCATGTCCAAACACAACTTTAATTTTCAAGCACCATTTTCACTTGAAATTTTTTTTCACTTTGTTTTTTTGAATTTTACAATTCTTATATCCAAACGCCCACATAGTAAGTAGTCCTTCAAATTTACAAAATAAAATACTCGTTAATCATGAAATAACTATTTCAATATTTTTAAAAATTGAAGTCATTATTTGTATAGTGTTTGGTCGTGAAGTTTTGAGTTTCAAGTGAAATATTGAGATAGTGGTATGATTATGTATCTCAAATGATGTTTTGTGAATCCTCAATTCTGACAAATAATCCTTCCACGCAAAACTTCATACTTAACTGAAAATCGTTCATTATTAATTTTGTCAAATGATCTCTTAATCTTTGGAGGTACACCTAAAATGGCCCTTTATAAATTTTTTTTGGTTTTCCACCCGGTGTTCGATACCCGTATTGGAGCCCGACTATATCCGGATTCGCGCCGCGTAGGGCCCCCATTCGGGGGGAAGCGCTCCCTAAGGATTTTTCCATACTCAGGGCTCGAACCCGAGACTTCTGATTAAGGGATGAGCAGTCTCATTCACCGCACCACATCCTTTGGTGGCGGCCCTTTATATATTTAGATAGTGCACCGATAGATGCTTTAGTTTGTAAAAGTGGAGTATATTTGAGCCTCCTAACACAAAAATGAATTTACGCTTACCTAACGCATATTAGGATAGCAAAATTAACTCATGAAAATATATGATAGATCAATTTAGGTAAGCACAAGACAGACAGACCAACTAAAAAATTGAGCTGATTTGGATAAATATGTAGCTCAAATTAATCCATTATTTTTCTTTGATTTAATTAGATATAGTCATAATAAGGAAAATATTTATTAATTTTATTTTGTAATCAAAAAATTATAATTTATACTATATTAAAAGTACGAATGCCTTAGCGTAATGTCGTTTGGTTTTTTTACCCTTTAAAAATAGAGTTTACACTGGAAAAAATAGTCATTTAGTTATTTTTTCCTAAAATTTAGGACTTCAAATTTAACTAAAGTTTTAGCCATTAACTCCTTCCTTATGTAAGTCCTCCTATTATTTAGTAATTTAATACCATGTACGAATTATGTAGATAAATCTCTTGGCTAATATTTAGTGCATCGAAATTCCAACACATAAAAGGAGTAAAGTAAACTAAGTTATCGTACAAAATATTCAATTTAATGGAAAGCGTAATCCACCGGAAACCAAACAATTATGGTCTTCTTCCTTTAAGGAGAATTTTCCCATTTAGAGAGCTATGTACTATTTTATAGACAAAAAGTTTGAACTATGAATGAAATATCTAATACCAAGTAGCGTATAACACAAAACCTGTAAGATGATATATATATATATACTATACTATGTAAAATTGTATAGTTAATCTTAGTATGTATTCTCATATGATATGCCAAATCTTTAACGACTTGACCAACCAAAAAAAAAAAATCTTAGTTTGTATATTATTTTAATTGATTATGAATGAAATTTATAATTTTAGAATTCGATGAAATTTATAATTCTTAGTGAGCTCACAATTGTGTTAGTATGATTAGCTCTGCCTAACATTTAGGAATCAAGTAATTAAATTTTAACTCTATAATTTCAAGTTGAGTAATTTTGTACTTGAAGTAAGAGACAGTAAAAAAATGTATTCTAAATGAGTTGCATTAAATTATTTTATTTCATTTTTCATTCATTTGGAATGACTCCCTATGGAAATGACTCTTTATCATTTTTTTTTTATATATCAAGTAATTTATTGCAGAACATTAGGAAAGCCATCTTGTCAAAATTTTGAGTCTAACTAGATTCGGATCTTTTCTAATAATTCTTGATTGTTCTTCTTCTTACTATTATTTAATTTTGTTTCATTATTTGGGTTTTTATCTCTTTCATGAATCTTAACATCCACAATTTAAAATTTTCTCTCTTCCCCTCAAAACAAGTTATCAATGATTAACACTTGTCAAAATGCTTATTTCTTCTGTTCAATGTCCAAAATTTATTCATTGTTGTTATTTTTTCCTAAATTTTTAAGAAATATTTTTCTTCTTCAAATTGCTGAATTCTAACCATGTGATTGAGTAATTAACACAATCAATCAATCAGACCAAAAAAAAAATTAATGGCATTTACTAGCAACAAGAAGTTTTCTTTTTGAACTTAAATATCGTGTATTAATTAAAAGATGAAGGAATAAAGCTAAAATGATGAAGATAAATACTTGAATATTTGATAATATTAAGTTATGGGAGCAAACAAGACGAAGAACCTAAAGAGTGGATGCAAAGTCCTAAAAATGACTAATATTCATTTTTTCTTTAGTTTTAATTTTTTTAATTCATTAGTTTAGGAACTTCATATTTTTTATCTTTACTAGCTTTAACGTACGCGCTTTGCGCGTGTGCCTATATCAATGAGTATATAATTAAAAAAAATTAGATAAATATTATTCTAATATAATTAAAAAAAAACTAAAAAATTATAAATTCTTGAAATTGATTAATGTTTATCATGATTAGCTAGATCAACGAAAGAACTATTATAGTCATTCACAAAAGGATTTACTCTAACTTTGGTTTGTATTTGAGCTTGTCACCCATCTCTCAACCATACTTTAAAGAATAGATGATATCTCCAATTTAAATTTTTGGCCTTTGTCCAAAATTATCTTTTTATAGCATCTTTTTCCTCTTAATATTAATTTTTTTCTCAACTTTAAAGAATATAGATAATTTCATTATATTTTTTGAATATTATTTATGTTATTTTCAAAAAGTTTATTTTTATTGATATAAAGGTTGCACGTACTCTAAAACTAGTAAGAAATAAACAAGGAAACTAAACATTAGTTGATTAGGGCAGACCAAATTATGATCCTATATGGCCCATCTTTGACCCAGCCTAGAAGAGCTGCTTGCTCATCTTTAAAAGGCAAAGAAGAATAAAAATATATATCTATCTATACTATATTAAAAGCACGAAGACCCTTAGCGAAATGTCGTTTGCCTTTTTTACCTTTTTAAAATAAATTTCACATTGGACAAAATAGTAATTCAAATTATTTCCTAATAGTTAGGATTTAGTTCCTTAATTAAATTATGTATCAAGTTCTAATATTTAGGAATTCAAATCAATTAAGATTTTACCTTATTTAAATTATTTTTGTATTTAAATTTATTTATATAATTGTAATCATTCCATATTAAGTTCTTAATACGTAGGATTTTAACATCAACTAAAATTCTATTAATTCAACGCTCTAATAAACTCACCCAACACATGTACGTTCAATGATGGTAAAAAAAATATAGGGGAACATCACAGAAACCATTTGGGTTAATTGATTTTTTTACTTTAAAACTAATTTAAATTTAAATTACCTTATACGAATCATTCTTTATTTTAGTAACGTGACATAATTGTCATTTTTTCATGTTATAATTCAAAATTTAAAATTTGGCATAAATAAAAATCTAATGCGTTACTGTCACAATAAAATTAAATAATTAAGTCTTTGAATTAATTATTAGCAAAAAAATATAATCCAACTATTTTTCAAATGCATCATCTAACTAGAATTAATTTTTTAGTTGACAAAAAAGTTTGATATACAAATTTGTTTCCACAAGATCAAGAAAATTGACGGTGAAAAAATAGTGAAGAACGAATATCAATTATAATATTGCTTTAAGAGTAAAATTAAAATACAAACTAAAATTAATAAGAATAAAATAGTAGACATGATTATCTACTATTTGAATTAAATCATTCTTTATTAGAACAATGTACGAACTCCAATATCTAAGTACTTAGATTATATTGCTAAAATATCTAATTAAATTTAAATTTGGATAAACTAATATTAATTAAGATTTGAAAGGGTGGGAAGGAGTTTCCACGTTTTGGACGAAATTATAGTTATTTTAAATATTTGAAGTTTGAGGTAATAAGGAATAGAATCAAGAAAAATAAATTTTTCCTTTAAGGTTGAGAACTAATGGTTAGTTCTTAAATTAATTAACTAATTAGTAATTAAAAGTATCCAATTCATTTTTTTTTAAAATTTATATAAGTAAAATTATTTTTTAAGTTGACAAAACTCTTAGGCTACATAGATTTATTTCTATATAAAAAAAAAAAGGCATTGGTCATATCAGAAAATAGAGCAAAGTTAGTAATAGTGTTAAAAGTCAAATTGATAAAATTACAAATTTGAGGCAATAAGGATGAAATATTAGTAGATAAAATTTATTTTAAATGTGAGTTAATATTTATAATTATCTTTTTGTTTCTTTTCACATTCATTTCAACAAGTGATAGCTCCTTATATATTTTTGTATATTAAGTTATTTTTGAAAAGATATTAACTCAATAATTATTCTTAGACTTTGCACCATCATTTATCAATTTTTTTTGTGAGCTATAGGGCCAACCTTTTCATTCTCGAAATCTCTAAGATACCAAAAGATTCAATTATTCAACTTTTCAATTTATTTTATTTAACAAATCTTTGAAGAACCATAAAAGTATTTTTTGATTTATTTGTTTCAGTATTAGGTAATAGAAATGCAAATAATTTTAAAATCACAATAAGACATCTAAAAATTTTGATGGAGCAAGATTTCTTTCATTTTTGCCAAATGAGATCGATATTCATCATTTTAAAGAACATACCCTTCTTCTAATTTTTATTTAATAACTCAACCACAATGTAATTTTTTTAAACTGAGTACCCATTAATATAAATACACACGCAAAGCGCGTACTCTAAGACTACCATTCAGATGTAAATTAATATGATTTGATATTAAACACCGAATGTGGGTAAATCTTTACCGTTACATCTACCATTCAGATGACCGATAAAAGTATGCTTCTTACAAACGCTGATAGAAATATAAATCTCGAAATCTAAAATATATTGGAGAAGGATTATAACCAACATTAAAAGAAAAGAAACCAAGGAGCTACGGCGGCAGAGAAGGAGAGAACATTCATCAACTCCTTTAAACTGAGCTATTTCCTGCGACATTCAAGACCTTCAACCAAAATCAAATGGCCGAAAGAAGAATATCCCCTAATATTTAACTATCGAGAAAAAATGATATAAATAAACAACACATAAACTTTGAGGATCTCTCTAAAGAGGTCTGCCATCATAATGTACTTTGACAAGGAATACCAGAGATAATGAACAAAAACCTATAAGGATAAGCCACACAAAAAGAATGTCACTGGCAAAATACAGTATGTTTCATCTTTGAACTTGGTCGGCTACATGGTTGCTAGTGGTCGAAGAAGAGGCCGTCCTACCATTCAGTATCCCGTTATCAACAGGCGGACTTAATCCCCACTTCCCTTCGGATTCCAGGGGTTCAATCACTTTAACAGTTCCATCTGACAACCCAACTGCAAATTGGCTAGGCTCCTGTGGATGTGCTGCAACTACTAATGGATAAACAGCTTGACTTCTGTGACATACAACAGGTGCGTTAGTCATGACTCTTTTATAGTACCAAAAACATCACAACTAATGAGAACTAAACGAACAAAACTAGTACATCAATCAACATCTTACGAAGTGAACGAATAACACATTTTAACATGTTAGATGAATGGCCAAAATATTTGGATTTGCAGAAGTGGATAACATAAGAAAGATTCAATAGACTGCTGTTCTTACCCAGTCAACACTGCCTGGGGCAAATATGCTGAGGGAGCAACACGACATCTGAGTCTTAGTGTATCAGCATCAAATACACCAACATTGCCATCAGAAAAGGAAGCATAAACTAATTGACTGTTACAGGAGTAAGCCGCGTAGGTTATTGGTGCAGAAAGTGCATCTTGAGGGACCCACTGCAAGAAACAGAATCAATAAGAAAACAAAACAGTCACGTGTCTATAATTTGAAATATTTAGGCATTTGTTTTACCTGGCGAATTCTTTCCATCTTTGATGCATCATAAATTGCTAACTGTGTTTCATGAGATACTAGCAAACGGACTTGGTCAGAGTGAAATTGTACTCGAGTGTCACCGCTAGGTGCTTTACCAGCAGGCAGCTGAATGAGAACTGATTTTCTCTTGTCCCATGTATCAATGCTCCATAAACAGAGCTGCAGTGGTTGGATTCCATGTTAGTATATAAAAACTAAGATATCTATAGCATGTCAAAGCACTACTAGATATGCACATACAGCAATACATGAAAACAAAATACAGAGACATGATTGGTAGGTGCATTCAACTCCAAGCTTCAAGCCATTAATACCTACTCCGAAACAATCAACCATTTATTTCTTCACTGTCCAGTTGCAACAGACATATGGTCCATGTTTCTTTCACTTTTTGGTTTGCGTTGGACAATGCCATGCAGTGTCAAGGAAGTTTTTGTGAGTTGGAGTTCATGGAAAGTTGAGAAGTCCATCAAGAAAATCTGGTCTATGGTTCCTGCTGCTATATTTTGGTGCTTATGGACAGAAAGGAATCAAAGATGCTTTGATGGCATCTCAACTGCTAGNCCCCCCCCCCCCCCCACAAAGAAAAAAAGAAAGTAAAGAAACTGAAGGCTGTGGCTGGCTCTAAGAGAAAGCCAATTGAATAAAATGTAGGTTCTGTACTTGTTCCTCTATCCTTTAATGGTTCAAAGAAAATAACACAAGGCATAGGAAGAAATAGAAAAAAGACAGAAGACTGATTTACCTGAGCATCAGCACCTGATGAAACCAATATGTTGAGGTTGGTGGAGAATGCAAGACCAGTTATGCGCTTCTGATGGCCCTTCAACTTAGATTTTACCTATGGATAAAATGCAGTAACATAAAAATGGGTCATTTAACCAACTCACAGATGTCATTGAATATTGAAGTGGTTGTACAAATTACCTCGTCGACCCTAACGTTATAAATGTGGATT